AAATAAATAAAAAATTGTACTGATCCTAAACTTACTGACCCCTCTTTGTGCACTGCAGTGTAAAGATGAGTTTTTCTCATTTTTTGGTGGTTTGTCAGAACACTCTTCGTGGCAATTGTTGATGTTTTAGCAGGAAATCCACACTGGTTCCTTTTTTTCTGACATTAAATTGACACACAAATGCCTTCTATTCATAGTAGCTAGTACAGAACAAACATTTACATTTTGCACATGTATTTATGATGTAAATGCTTCTATTTTGTTAAATATTTAGCAAAATCCTGAAACTTTCCACATTTGAATTAGATTCTGAATTCCTTTCAGTTACTCTCATGGCACACAATTTCACATAAAGTCATGAGCAGTGATCTCACTGCAGCTGCTGATGACCCAGTCAAACACTTTCTTTTCACAGCCATGACCCACCCTTTTCACAGCTTTACACCACCCTGTCCTGTGGCATGGGGACAGAATAAGGGATTTAATGAGTGTATATACTGATCCAGAATGGACGAAGGTAGAATGGAAGAAAAGAAAAGAAGGGTCGGGAACCTTAACCTGATCGCCTGACACTGTTTCATTGTTTTGTCAAGCTGGAGATGTGGAGCTAGAAGTCTATTGAGTACTGACTCTCTCTCTTTCTCAGCACCTCAGGAAAGGAGTGCACTATCGCTGGGGTTTCTTTGCTCCAAGCGGCCCTACGCTGGACGAGATTAGCGAAATGGTTGATGCTGGAAAGGTACAGCAGCCTGTGTGTGTCTGACATGTCTCCTTCCTCTCTCTTCAATCAGTTCTCTTAACTGTCAGCTCATATACATGATTCTCAGTTTTGGTAGTTTGGGTTGTTCACACTGACAGTGATTTACATCAGTCGAAATTCAACTAAATAGATAAATCACATCTACTTTCCACAGGAAGAAAAATGATTCCTTATCAAAACAGAATGACATCTTATCTTTACCAGCAATACAAAATGTCTGTGAACACATTTTCACATTTACTTGTGGCTCTTTGTCTTGTGCTGTTTGTTTGAACACAGAAATTAAACAGAACAGTCATTATGAACTTGTGTTATGACAACGTGACTGCTTCATGATGGGAACAAGTGTGGAGTGTAGCTAACCTTATGATAAACATCAGATGTTGCAGATAGCAGATGTATGCACAAGAAAAACATTTCATTGAAAGAGTAGTTATGGAGCTGAGATTTTTGTGAATTTAATATCAGATGTTATAGAAAATAAAAAAAAAACGTTAAAGTACTATAATATTTGATTATTCTGATTTGAATATATCCTTATTGTTTAATGTTAAGCAGCATTTAAGGGAGCTTTTCAATACTGGTAAGCAGAAAAACATTTAAAAAAAAAAACATTTACAGAAACATTACAGCAGTGCAGCAGGCAGGAAATGTGTCTCATCTTGTTTCCTTTAAAGCAGTGTGCTGTTGTGCTTGTATGGCCTGTGTTTGCTAACCAGCTATGTTTATGTTTCCGCTCTCAACTTTAAGACTGTGGTTAATGAGTGTTTTGAAAAGATATTCATGATAATAAAATGTTCAATATTTTAGGACAATGTTTGGCCAGACTTCTGGTCTAATTAGTAACAATTAACCACATTGGAAGTCTAATGTATTGATTTTGTTCATATTAGTGTTATTAATGCTTCAGATTGTAGACATTAAGATTATAATCAACTGGCATTTGATAAGGAGTTCAAATATATCAGTTCAGCAGATCATGTTTCCTCAAGACAACAGTACATTGTATAAACAGTACATTTACCATGAAGGTGACTTGAACTCTTTACAGGTACAGTCAAAGCAAACTGACGACTCATAACTTAGGTCTCGTGTGGGTCAAACCAGCAGTTTCTTGTTTACCAGCTCTGAGTTTTAACCACAACACCACAGCACACCCACAGCTAACCCTACTATACACCCACCACCCACTCGAGCACCACCTAATGTATTGCAGGCGCATTTTAAAAGTTGATATTCAGTGGATTTGGATGAGATTAACATGACACCAATGAGTCATCATCACGTTAAACTGCAGGTATTATCCATGTCCTCCCAGGATGTTCAATTTCAGTTCTAATATTTGTGTGCTGTTGTGTCCTTGTAGGTCCGTCCCGTGGTGGAGGAAGTGTTCTCATTTGCTCAGGTGCCTCAAGGCTTTCAGAAAGTAGAGCAGGGTCATGCTCGTGGCAAAACTGTAGTCTCCATCATTGAGGACGAAAAAGAATAACTATGGCAACCAAAAAATTTACTTATGCTGGGACTTTTTTCAGTGTCTGTTGAATTAAAAACATTTATCTAATGGCTAGTGTCTTTATTTTGCAGTATAAAATTAGCAGACAAGCCCTGTTCATTATTTCAAATCATATTCGTAACAACTTGAAAAGTCATAACAAACAAACAAAAAATGTTTTATTCTTAATGTAACAGTATATTTTGGAAATATGGGCATGAAAATATAAAAACACTAAAACAGATTACTAAACACGTCAGAAAATGTACACAAACATACACACAACAACTACTAAAAAATCTTTATAAAAGAAAACGGAGAGACAGAAAAAGCTCTGATCAAGAATAAGCCACCTTTCAAATTTATGTGAGTTTGTGAGCAGGAGTGAATTGATGCCAGATCAGCACAGCTAGGAGTAAATGTTTATATAAAATTCTAATATGTGCAATAGTGCTTTTTATACTTATTTTGCAGAATAATCTGACATACTAAAAAAAAAAAAAAAACTTTGTACAGCAACTTTACAATTGTATGAGTCAACGAGTTCCCACATTTTGTTTTCAGTGAGTTTGAATGGCAATAAATGCTGCCTTACATTCAGAGAGGTCTGTAATACCTGTTTGTATTCTCATTCATCTGAACAGCAGTTGCTCATCTGGTGCAGGAAGCCTTGGAAGTATGCCATTTAAAATGTGCAGTTTTTGCTCACGGGCGCTTAGCTCTGATCCACTGAGCCATTAATGTGATTAATTACTCTGGAGCCACAAGAAAATAATGTCATGACTGCTGGCACCACAAGAACAAGCCCTTTACTAGTGACCATCCTGAGATTTGACATGAAAGGCTGCAGACCTTTTAGGAGCTTTTAAGGCACTAGTAAAACATCTATTATACTAATTACTAGTAGTATATGACTATACTAAGTATCTATAACTTATACATTTCTTGCACAAAATAATTTAGTCAGAATACACAGCTACTTATGAATGAAAGAAGGTGCTTTTGCCCCTATAAAGTGTAATTAGGACAGGCAAGGGGTAAACTGGGACATACTAACTAAATTAACCTCGACTCTTTGCTGACACAAAAGATGAACAAGGTCAGCTAAAGTGCAACTACATACAAATCGTTATGCTACTGCGCCCTCTTTGGTAATATCATTGCATTGCAAGCCTTTGCGTTTCTAGGTCAATGCAGAGTAACAACAAAAAAGTACTAGCACAAAAGATGTTGAAACTGAGGCAGGTCTCATTAGGGTCCTTGATGCAGTCGATGAACTTCAGTTGAACGTCCAAAGACAACTGTAATCTAGATGGATGATTTCAAAAGGTTTGGTCCCCCACACATTCTCATCTCTGGATAATAATCCCATCAGTGACAAAGACTCATCTGAGCCATTTTTGGGGTTTAGATTTACATCATCTTCTCAGTGCACAACAGCCTCATACATTTTATGGTTTCTGCTGAATAGCAGGAGTTAGAGAAACGGCCTCTGTTTTGACCCAAGCACTAAAGGATTTCCACAGTCCATCTCTGGTTGGTTTTCTGCTCATCAAAGGTGTTTAGAATCACCTGGTTTTTATCATACTGTTGGCCACCTGGATGAAGAATAGATTAAGAAATTCAAATTCTCAAGATTTCAATAGGCAGTAACTTTAAACACACCTCTTTAGGTTTAAATTACACTACCATTTAAAAGTTTTTTTTTAATAGAAATTAATACTTTCCTTCAGCAAGGATGCATTAGGTGACAGAAGAGAGATTTATGTTACAAAAGATTGCAATTTCAAGTAAAAGCTGAACTTTCTATTCGTCAAAAATGATTTATCATCACAAATATTATGCCGCACAACTGTTTTCAACATCAATAATAAAAATAAATGTTTCTTGAGCATCAAATCAGCATATTAGAATGATTTCTGAAGGGTCATGTGACACTGAAGAATGGATTAGTGGCTGCTGAAAATTCAGCTTTGCCATCACAGATATAAATTACATTTTAACATGGATTAAAATAGAAAACCGTTACTTTAAACTGAAATAAAATGTTATAATATTAATGTTTTACTGTATTTTCTGTTCAAATAAATGCAGACAGTAATGCATTAAGTAATACAAGACAGTAATACAAAAAAAGGTGTAATACATTAAGTGGGTACTAGATGGCATCAAATGATGGTTTCCTGCTGTGCTGACTGACGTCAGGGTGGCGCTCAAGTTACACAGAAATTTGAACCACAAACTACCTCATTCTGAATTCAGACAAACAAAAGGAGCCATACAGCAGTGATCTTCCATCACAGAGATTATTGTCATAGTCCAAATAAATAATTTACCCTCATCTTACTTGTTGTTCGATGTCCCTTATCTACTGCTTTACATGTAAAATTTTTCAAATTATTCCCTTTCAAACAATTTCTGACCAATGAATGACTTTTCCAGCTGAGTAAGACATTTTAAAAATACGGTTGTAAAGAAGGCACTCTCAAAGAGTAATTTCTAGCCAAATAAATAATTTAGCAGCTCATATTGACAATAGAACCTTTTAAAATGTTATTAATGATAATTTTTTATAATATATATTGTGTTTTATTATATTTTAATCATATTAATATTATATTAGAATAGTTTTGGAATATTATTAGCATTTAATTAATATTCAGTTTAGTGTTAAATGGTAGCCCCTTCATCTGTGCTACAGATTCAGACACATCTTCGCCTCTGACAGGATGCTGTGGTATGTATGAAGGGCGGCAGTGCAGTTGCCTGAGCAGATCGAGCGCAGTTGCCAATAGAAATGCCACACAGGTATGATGTGACATCAGAATGTGTCATCAGTAAGAGATTATGAGCTCGTCAGTGGAGGGTGTAGGTTTATGACTGACAGACACACGCCTCATGTGCATGTGAATTTCTCTGTTTATTGTTCCACTCCAACCATTCTGTTTCATTTCATTTCTTTTCTTTTCATTGTCTTTTCTTTTATTCAAATGTATAAAGTACTGACCTTTGACCTCCAGCACAAGGTCAGGCTTGAGGTTGTTGTGTATGATTCCGTCTCCTGTGATGCTCCAGAACTGATTGTCTTTGCCTGGTTCAGGTGAAATATTCAACCTGCCACCTGCCATCACCACACCTCCAGATGTCTCCACACAACAGTCCTCGACCATCTGAAGAGAAAAAGCCAGAGAGATCATGGTCATGATGAGTAGACGGCTACTTGTCTTTTGAAAATCAGATTGCACGTGTTAACAAAAACAGCATTCTTCCATCTTAGAAACATCACTGTCCTACGGAACATTTGACCAGTTTCTCATGCAGAAAAGCTAGTTCATGCATTGATGACCTCTAGACTGGACTGTTGTAATGCACTGCTAGGTGGTTGTCCTGCATCTTCAATAAACAAGCTACAGGTAGTCTAAAATGCAGCGGCTAGAGTCCTTACCAGGTCAAGAAAATATGATCATATTACCCCAATTTTACAATCTCTACACTGGCTACTTAAGTTCTGTATCAGTTACAAAATATTACTACTTACATATAAGGCCCTAAATGGTTTAGCTCCTGTGTATCTAACCAGTCTTCTATCACGCTACAATCCATCATGCTCCCTAACGTTGTAAAAATCTGGACTTTTGGTAGTACCTAGGATAGCAAAGTCCACTAAAGGAGGTAGAGCATTTTCGCATTTGGCTCCCAAACTCTGGAATAGCCTTCCTGATAACGTTCGGGGTTCAGACACACTCTCTCTGTTTAAATCCAGATTAAAGACACATCTCTTTAGCCAATCATTCACATAATGTATCTCATAACCTCGTACTCCAGTTATATCTGATCAAATGCACATTAACATTTTTTGCTTGGTTTGAACAGCAGCTACGCTAATATTTGTCTATTTGCTTCTCTGTTTTTGCCACGGGATGGGAATCCCGAGGTAACTTGGAATTACACAAGCTTCAGTTTGGATCCATCCCTTACAAAGATCTGAGATGACCGAACACCTGAGAAGAGATGATACCAACCCCTCAGAGGACCTCAGTTGACGCCAACCCTGAACCAACATACAAAACTACCAAATTTTCCTTTAAGTTTGATCACAACATATAATCATTGCTGTTAATAGTGTTCACCGTTTGTTCAATACATGTCATTAACTAACTGCATGATTTTTACTCTACATATGGATATCACTTTGACATGTTATGGATATCAAGTTGTAATGTAGAAACTTTCATTCTATGTGAAGCTGCTTTGCAACGATTTTTATCGTGAATACAAATAAACGTGAATTGAATTGAATTAAACGGAACCAGAGTCAACATCACAGGTGCACTCGAGTACAGAATTGGATCTGGAAAGGTGACCAAAGTGTAGAGTACCTTGCAGCGCAGAAGTCCATTCTCATAAACCCATATCTGCTCTGGACCACCAGTTTCCTCCAGCACTTGCACCCGGAGCAGCTTTAAATCATCCAGTGATCCAGTCAGAGACATCAAGCAGCCCGTTTCGGCACTACGCAGCCGGAAATAAGCACGTTTCTATTGAGAAAGACAGAAGATACATGATCATGTTTGGATGTTTAAACTAGCTATAAGAGAAACTACTATTGATAAAGTTTGGCTAAACTCTAACTCGCTTAACAATGTATTATTATGTCACCATGGGTATTAACGGTCTCATTCTGGATTTACTGGAGTGTCTTTATGTCCACATGTTGTGCTGTGTTTGCCCTGCCTTTATATGTGCCGTTCCCAAACAATTAACTCTCACACCTAAAAGCAAAACTACCCAAACCCCATTGGATCTGAACACACACACAGCAAAACACAAGTAATTTCGCTTCCTGAGAACTAGGCACGTGGTGGTGTTTTATACCTGTAGTAACGGACGCAGAGAGCCAATCTGCTCCCAGCCTTGGAACTTCTGCCAATCACCGATCTCGCTGGGATGGAGCAGGACCTGACGACCACGGAATTTGCTGTATTCATACAACACCCAGCTGATAATAACAAACACAAATACACAGAGAAAAATCTATTCATTTACATTATTTTCACATCCAAATGACCCATAAAGGAGAATAATAACACTACATTTGGTGTTCCACACCTACACCGAAATCTGAACTTTGAATGTGCTTCAGAAACCACTCACATTCCTCCATTGACCAATAGAGAGTTGACCCGCCCATCAATGCCAGCCAGAGACAGATTCAAAACGCCATCAGTCAGAACCACTTTACGTCCTCTGAAGCCAGATTTACAGAAGAGTGTGATGGAGGGCATAGAGAACTCCTGAGTGGACAGAGAAACAATGAACATGTGTTTATTACAAAAATCCAATCATTGAAATCATAGTCAGCTATGACATGACTGAAAACAAGGCTGTCCTTTGAATATGTTGCACTGTTTTGTACCTTTCAGCCCACAAAACACTGAAGATGTCACAAATCTCTCTAGAATTATCTCCTGTCAACATTTTCACTTTTATTTTGCCTCACTACAATCAAGATAAATATTTTAGCAACATTTTTGTCAGGAAAAAACAAATAGCTATAATGTAACTACATGACAGACTGCATGAACACACCTCTGCTGAAAGACATGGTGAACTTTTTTTATATTTAATTTTTTTTTATTTTCATCATTGTCATTCTTGGCATTACAACAAATTCTCATCCTGTTTAGCCAGATGAATAATATGATCAATGCTCATGTCTAGTTGTTTAAGTTGACAAGGCTTAAAAATACATCTACATGATCCATGAAAGTAATATGTAGTGCCAAGATAGCATTCGTCTTATAGGGGATGTGAAAAGGATCCATCCTCACAGCCTCATTTTC